TTCTTAAGCAGGAACCTATACAGAATCATATATAATGGTCATGGACAGAACAATTGCAACAACACTTTTTTAATGAATTTTAGAATGCACTAATATTTTGCGAATGCGAACCACAATTATTAGTGTACTGCCTCTGTACCTAGAGACAGTACACGCAATCGTCATTTGCATTCACAAAATATTAATGCATTTCAATATCCATAAAAAATATGTGATGGAAATTTATTTTATAATAAAGGGGTTTTTTTTTTTGTAAAACAAGATATATTTCCAATATTTTAATACAACAGACCGAAACGATCGCGCTACGTTCTCTTTAATCGCCACCCGTTCGCGGACTTCAATTTCTGCCTCCTTCCTCGTGTCGTGTGCTCCGGCGACTGCCCCGTCTTTTTCCCGCGCGCGACCGAAGTGGTCGCTACCCCGCAACACGCGCTCGCCACGTGATCAATAGTCGATCGATTACGTGCGATCCCACAACTCGGCCATTCTACCGGTACGTTCGTCCTCGAACGTCGTCACTTGGAATTATCTTCATCCTCAGAGGAATCGTCAGTGCTTTCATCAATCCATGGCTTTATGTAATCAGCTGATGTCGTTGTTTGAGTTGGGCCCTCGCACTCGCCAATCTTTTGAACAGAATAGCGTTGATTTCGCATAACCCTAGTAATCTCGTATGGCCCCAAGTATTTGCCAGCGAATTTCGTTCCTGGGCCTTGCTGTGTGCGCCTGATAGCCACCAAGTCACCCTCGCGATAAACCTTGCCCTCCTTCCGTTTCTTGTCGTAGGTCCGTTTGTTTTCTTGCTGTATTTTTAATATGTTTTCTTTCGCCTCCAGTCGCAGCTCATCTCGGTTTTCCTGAAACGACTCGATCCATTCCCTCTCCAATATCTCTCGGATCTCCGGATGATCCTTTAATCGAGGATGTACTCCAAAGAAGACACGGTAAGGAGACATGCCGACGCTTCTGTGCGGTACAGTATTTAAGTACTGTTGAGCCACTTCGACGTATTTGTACCATTCGTGTGGTTTGGGAGCCGCCAATTTAGTCAGCAGCGGTATGAGCGTTCTGTTCACTCGCTCGACTTGTCCATTCGCTCTGGGTACTCCTGTCGTAATCAATACATGCTGAATATTTTCCATACGGCAGTATTCCTTGAATTCATTGGAAGTAAACGCCGTCCCTCGATCAGATATAATCCGGCGTGGATTACAGAAAACCGCCGCTTGCTTTCCTAAACGCGCCAATACTTCCTGTGTATTCGTAGATTTAGTAGTATACAACCATGTAAATTTAGAAAAGGCGTCAACGACTAAAAATATATATTTATACGATTTTTTTGTTGAAGGTAACGGTCCGAGGTGATCAATATGTAGAGTATCTAATGGAACATTTCCTTTCTCTATTGGGTGTAGGAAACACTCCTGTTTTCTTTGTTTCCTCTCGGCCAAGATGCAGGCAATACAATTGCGCACGACCTTTTCCACTCGTTGTCGCAGATTTGGAATCCAGTAATCAGCTCTAACCAGACTTTCCGTTTTTCCTATTGAAAAATGTCCTTGCTCGTGCGCTCGCCGAATGATCTGACTCTGCATTCTCCTTGGAACTACAAGTTGTAAATCACCATTAGACTCCTTAAACAACAAGTTACCTTGCAATACGTAATCTCCGGCCTGTCCACGAAGAACCAATTCGCGAAGTCGTTTCACATGATCGTCGTCTTCCTGCGCCCTTCTAAGCCTAGCCATCAGTCCCGCTCTGGACTCGTCAACCACCAAACACACGGGTAATGGATTGCGGCTGAGTGCATCAACGTGTGTCATACTCTTTCCGGGGCGATGCTCGATGCTATAATGGAACTCCTCCAGAAGTAGTGCCCATCTCGCAACTCGTACACACAGATCCCTTTTGTTCATGGTGAGCATGAACGCACGACAATCGGTTACTATTTTGAACGTGATGCCCAATAGATAGACTCGAAACCTTCTTAATGCTTTGATTATGGCCAGAACTTCTAGTTCGTAACTAGCGTACTTGGCCTCAGCAGGGGTTGTCTTCCCGCTGGAGTAATAGACAGGATGAAAATATCCATCCACGTTGTCCTTTTGAAGCAAGATCGCTCCGTACCCAAGTGCAGAAGCATCCGTGTGTAGTTCTGTCTCTGCTCCAACCCGGTATAGTCGGAGAACTGGTTTCTCGATCAACATGGTCTTCAATCTCATGAATGCATCTCTCTCTAATGTGCCAAAACGAAACTGCACGCCGCTCTTCAATAGATTCGTCAACGGGCGCGCTATCGTAGAATATCCGGGAATAAATTTCCGGAAATAACCACTCAAACCCAGAAAGCTTCGCACATCTCTGACGTTCCGAGGCTCCGGGAATCGCCGCACCGCTTCGGTTTTACGATCCGACGGACGCACGCGTCCTCCCTCAAGAACATGGCCGAGGAACTCCACTCTGGTTTGTAGGAAGCTACACTTTTTCCAATTTATAATGAGTCCGGCCTCACTCGCAGTCTTCAGAACTTTCTCTAGTCTCTTTAGGCCGTCCTCAACGTCACCTGATGGAATGATTAAGTCGTCCATGTAAGCCAGAACCACGCCCTGCCGCATCAGATCCCTAAAAACCGAATTAATGAATCTCTGAAACACAGCTGGCGAATTGCAGAGACCGAAAGGAACCCTCAGAAACTCATAATGGCCGTCAGGCACGACGAAAGCCGTATACTTTCGGCTCATCTCGTCCATTCCCACATGAAAGAATCCATTCTTCAGATCGAGTGTACTGAATAACCGGGCACCCTGCAGCAAATCCAGCTGGTCTTCTATTAGCGGCAAGGGATATCGATCCTTGATGACCTTCTTGTTTAATGTTCGATAGTCCACACAGAGCCTGTTTGAGCCATCCTTCTTTTTAACCAACACTACTGGACTAGCATAGTCCGAGGTTGATGGCTGGACAATTCCCTCCGCAATCCACTCATCAATCTGGGCATTCACCAGGATTTTCTCCGATGGAGACAAACGTCTCGCAGACTGGTAAACAGGCTCTTCGTCTTTCAATAAAAGTTTCATTTTAATATTACTTTTGCATATTTTATTGGGCCTGTAACCTTCAATAAGATTTTGCAGCGTCGTTCGTTGCTCGGCGTTTTCATAAGCGACGCCTGCGTGATCTACCTCTTGCCCTTTCTCATCAGTCATATCTATCTTAAAAATTTCCGGTACTGTCTCCTCGCCGCTGCACTCCGATTGCAATGGGCTGATAGAAATGTTCCTCGCTTTAATGTTGACCTCAACAGTGTCCAGAAAATCCGTGCCTATCAACATCTGATGCTGAAACAAAGTA